CCAGGGACGGTGCTAAGCATTGGAAATCCAAAGATACTTTTCATGTATTAAAACCCAAATATAATAGAACATAGTAATCTCCTTACCAAAATAAGTGTGAATTTTATTCATATTATTCTTTGTCCTTAAAAGGATAATGTCCTCTGTACCTTTATAGTCTGTCCACTCTGCTAGCGTATGAAGACCAAGCTCTAATATGCTTTAGGGACTTAGATGTTGAGATATGGAGTCCTTGAAAGAACGAGATAAAAGGGACGCCTACTTGATAATCTCGAAGGGTCATCTTATACAGTAAATTCCTCAAAGTAAGTTCCTCAAAGGGTATATAGATAAATACGAATTTCCCCAAAAGGTCTTTATACTTTTATACATAGAAGTGTTGTTTGCAGAGTAAAGAGTTAGTTCATTATTTAAATAATCTCGTTGTTAATTTAGACTTCTATACCTAAGGCTTTAGTGAAAGGAAGTGTGTTGATAGGTCTATACTCGGGTATAGAAGATCTGTCAAAACAGGAGTGGTAATGGTGGTTGTGCTCACAGTGCACGTGTGATGAGGCAAATGAAAAAAGGAGCTGACAATTTAGGGGAGAAAAATGGTTGATTTTACAGGAACTTCTTGGCTTTGGATGTATTTTGTCTCCTTGATCAACCCCATTCATAACTTTTAAATTGCCTTTTGGGTCTCTCATGGGTAGTTTTCATATTCATATCCCCTCCCCCATTTTGATACAGTCTTTTTAAAGTAAAGAAGCTGTTTTCCAAACAGAGCTCAGTAATGAGATGCCTTATTACTGGGGGGAAACTCTGCAGAATCTTTCTGTGTGCTCCAGAGTCATCTTTGTTTCAAAGAGGTCAGCTGTCTATTTCTTCCCATTCCCCCTGCTTCCACAGAATGTGACTCTCTAAATCTGTAATTCTCCTATTTGTACCTCTTTGTTAGATTTTTTTTAATGTCTCTAAATGATAATGAACAAAGCACCTAAGCTTTCCAAATAGAACAAATGCACTCATTGTAGAACAAAGTTATGCAATTTCTGATACAATGCACAGAAAGCCTTTGGAAGTTTAAGTGTCAGTGCAGAGAAAGTTTAAGTGGTCAGTGCAGAGAAGTACTGATGCCATATTGAGTGGTGAGCGATGTTGAGGGGTGGGCGGAAGATGTTGCTTGAATGCACGTGCAATGCAGCCGTCAGTTGCACTAGCCTGCTGCAGGCTTCCCCATCTTAGAGCAAACGGTTCCCCACGCGTTTTTTGAGTCAGGAAATTGTTGTTTTTAATGTGCCCTGTTTTTGTCAATATTCCTTGTCATTTCATGATCCAGTCAATGTGGCCTTCCAAATTCTTCCACAAGCATATGGTCTGAGACAGGATCCTGACTTTGAAGTCATCAGAAAACACTGGAACACTGCAAAGAGACAGATTAATTATTCAGGAGAAAGTATCATTTTACAAATACTGATTTTTAAAATCTGTCTTTAGAAAGGAAACGTAGAAAGGGAAAACCGTTTCTGAAGACTACTGATAAAAAATTGTAAAATTTATTTCTCTCACACCAATGCTTTTCTCCCCCCCTCTTAGAATTGCAAATTCATATCTACTCAACCAATCACACACCTTCAGTTAGTGTTTGTTTACTTTGGACCTTGATTCAACTGTATCACCTAATTGTTTAGATTTGGTATTATTAGGTAATTTCTTTTTGCGCCCAGGTTAAAAGCTGTTATTTTTAGTTTCCAGAGTTGCAGGGATTTTTTTTTTTTTTCAAATAAAGGAGAATTGGAATTCTGGATGAAGTTCTGAAGATACCTACTAGTGTGTTACTTTGAAAAACTGAAATAGGGCAGTCCTATTGGGTTACCGCACTCTGTTGTTTCTTACTGTGTGGTTGGCTTTATTCCTCTGATAACTATGTAAGTTTAAAAAGCTAAAGCTCTAATCTGTTCTTAGAAACAGTAATTAGTACATATATGAAAACAAAAAAAAATGTGCAGTATACTGTTCATATGTTTTTACACGCAATATAATGTGTATGTGCAAACTGTAATAATTCTACATAATAAAACTGGAAAAAAAAAAGAAATAGGACAGTCCTTAGGTACAAGTCAGCGTTAGGGTTGCTATTCACACCGTTAACAAATGACATGTCTTACAAGAGGATGCAGCAGTTTGCTAAAAGGGAACTAATGCCTAGTGAAATAATCATTTATCTTCATTTTCCCGAAACTTTCCTGGTATTTTATTACAAGAGCACTAAGCTGAGCGTAAAAATACCTTATGCTGTATCTCTGCTTTGCCGTTACTAACTTGATCTCTCAGCTCCAGTGGGTCCCTCCCACTAAGGGTGGTCTTCACGGTATTTTAAGGAAACTATTCATAAAAGTAAAAGATATTACTAGGTTATGATCCTTCTTCAAGTTGGTACTTTGAGGGTTTGTAATAACAATGAAAAGGTCTTTTATGTGTTATAATAAGGACGGTTTTTTAAAATGATAGCAGTCTATTATGTTGATATCTAAAACCATGATGGTCAATCTAGTTTTAGTGAAGTTTAGACCAGAATTAATCGGACATATTTGATACGATACTGTGCTATATGAGAGTTAGGCTAACAGAGTAAAGAGAGATGATTTCCATTCCCAGTTGTTTAAATCATTCGTTTAAATCAATCAAAAGGATTTTATAGAGGAAACAAAGCATTTTGGAAGGTGAGCTGTCTACACGGATGGGTTGTATGAGCAATGAGTAAGGCAGATGTTAAGCATGTAAAACACATTAAGAGGCAGGGCACCTGTGCGAATATAATGAAATTCATGTTGGTGTCAGAGCCACTCTTACGTATAAGACAGCTACTAAATCTCACTGATTGTGAGAAGCAGTGATTGATATCAGACTGTCACAGCATGACTCATGAAAGTTGAAGCAGTGCCCTGCCCTTAGGATAAAGTGCAGCTTTCAAAGATAGAAATATTTCCACCTTGGTGCTAGTTTGCAACCCCTGGAGTAAATAAAGCATTAAAGACAGCTAAA